GCAGTGGACCTTTCAAGTATTGCCCCAAGGTTATCTGCTTAGCCCAACCATCTGTCATGGTTGAGTGGCTGGGGACCTAGCCAAGTGGACTAGGCCCAGCATGGTTACAATGTTTCGCTACATTAATAATGTGTTACTAACCTCTGATTCTCTTACAGATTTAACCCAGGCAGCTCCAACACTGCTAAGTCATTTGGAACAATGTGGGTGGGCTGTGAACACAGCCAAAGTGCAAGGACCTGGGCTGTCAGTCAAATTCTTAGGAGTGGTCTCATTGGGTAAGACGAGAGTCATCCCAGGAGCTATTATGGACAAGATACAGGCATACTATTGACCCACAACTGTAGCTTAGCTACAGACATATTTGGGACTTCTGGGGTATTGGAGAGCTTTTGTACCCCATATAGCCCAAATGGCATACCCACTGTATGCATTAACAAAGAAAGGAGCCTCCTGGAATTGGACTGAAGAAGTAGAACAGGCTTACTGAGCTACAAAAAGGGCAATACAGCAAGTACAAGCTTTACAAATGGCTGATCCTACTAAGCCTTTTGAATTAGACATACATATAACCCAAGAAGAGTTAGGATGGGGTTTATGGCAGAGACAAAACTAATGCTGAACACCTATAGGATTCTGGTCTCAGCTCTGGAAGGGCACTGAAGTGCATTATTCCCTAATAGAAAAACAGTTAGCAGCTGTGTATTCTGTGTTGATGGCCAGTGAAGCTATCACAGGAACTGCCAAAGTCCTAGTAAGGACAACATACCCCATAATAGGTTGGCCATGCATGTGGGCAACCAACTCTAAATGGGTGTAGCTCAGACTCCCACTCTGTCTAAATGGGGAGCATATATAGAACAAAGGAGCACTGTGTCAATGAGTCCTCTGTCGAAAGAGTTACAAACTGTGCTAGGACCAGTAGAGGTTGTGGAGGAAACTTTGACACACCCTTACCCATGGATGTGGAGGCTACACCTTTCCATGAGGGACAGGGACCTATCACAGAGAAAGCTTGGTATACAGATGGCTCTAGCATGGGACCCTCAGCATCATGGACAGCTGTTGCTGTCCAGCCCTTAACAGATACCATGTGGTATGAAAATGGCACAGAGCAAAGCAGTCAATGGGCTGAATTGAGAGCAGTATGGATGGTGATAAAAAATGAGCCTGGGCCATTAACCATCTGGGCTGTGTACAAAGTTTTAACCCTTTGGATCTCTACTTGGAAATATCAGCGGTGGGTGGCAGGCCACTGGCCCCTGTGGGGACAAGCCATGTGGCAAGAGTCATGGGAATTGAGACATGAGAAAGAAGTAACTCTTTTCCATGTCACAGGACACTTCCCCTTAGCCAGTCCAGGAAATGATGAAGCCGATGCCTTGGCTAAGGTAAGATGCTGGAGAGAGCCCCAGCCGCTGATGTGGCCCAGTGGTTACATCAACAAATGCAGCATGCTGGCAGTAAAACCATGTGGGTGGCGGCTCAAAGATGGGCCCTGCCTATAAAATGGGAAGACATAGTGAATGCCTGTTGTGTTTGTCCAGTATGTGCTCAAGAGAGTCCACACCCCTGGCAGGTGCCCCATACAAAGGGCAAATAACTCGAGGAAGGGTGCCCCTGACTGACTCAATGGCAAGTGGACTTTGTCAGACCACTGTCAAGGTTAGAGAATTTCAGATACATCTTCACAGCTGTTGATATGGCTACTGGTTTTCTGTTTGTATGGCCTTTTAAGAACCCAGACCAGGTGAACACTGTGAAGGCACTGAACAGTCTTACGGCTATGTATGGCCCACCTCTTGTCATAGAGAGTGATAATGGAACCCACTTTACTGGACATGGGGTTCACAAGTGGGCTTCCCAGTTGTCTATTCAGTGGAAGTTACATATGCTGTATCGTCCCCAGGCAGCAGGAATGATTGAACAGTATAATGGTCTTTTTAAAAAGGGACTAAGGCTATCTGCCTAACTCCCCTCCCGGAAGGGGTGGGCACGGCAGTTATGGCTGACAGTCAGAATTCTAAATGACAGACCCCGCAAGGGCGGGCCCTCTCCAGTGGAAGCTCTGTTGCACAGGGCTGCAGCACCTATACAGCTGCAAGTCACTACTAATGATAAGCTTTTGAAGCCAGGATATGGCAAGAATGGAAATATTCTTACTGGCCCCAACCTGTTTGCAACAGGGACAGACAGTACAATGGAAATGGCCTTGGTGAATAGAAGCTCCCTATATATGTAGGGTACATCTAATAGGACCTTGGGGGAAAGGATTAGAAGAAAACTTGGAAGTTTCACCTTGGGTGGCAAGTACCTGGCCTCCTCAAGAAAAGGTAACATGGCCTGGAACAGATAAGTGCTCTATTCCAAAGGGCACACTTGTATTATCATTATGGCCAATTATGAGTTCCCCTTTACTGTTACATGTAGAACCTACAGATCCAACAGTGTTAGTGGATAATGTATGGTATCATAAACTGGGTAAGATACCTATTCCTGCTGCCATCCTTTCTCAGGATGGCAAACTGGCATGTATCTTACCAGAGGGGTGAAAACTCCCCCTATTGGTACCAATAACTCTTCTGTCTTCTTGCCCACAGTGTTCTGGCTGCAGGCACCAGAGTTGACTGGGCACATACATATATTCATGTGACCAATGTGTCGGCTTACTGAAGATGCACCGAACCTCCCATCAGTATGACTACAGGATTCTCATGGAAAAATCACACCAATGATGACTACTAACTGGACATGTGTGGCTAACAGTTGAAAGGACAAAACTACAGGACAAGCCTTAAGGCATATTGAACAGACAATAGGTTACATAAATGAAAGGGTCATTTATCCTTGCTAGGGGAATGTTGTGGAAGATTCTGAACACATAGATTGTACAGTGAGGGACCCTGAAGGGGTGGATTGTGAGGAAAATAGAGTAGTTTAGTCAGGCCCCCTCACCTCAGGTCCATCTGGGTGTGGTGCAGCACATCCTTTGTGAACAAGTTGTGCGGGAGTAGAATTAGTGGGTATGCGTGCCCATGTATCTTTTGGCTTGTTGCTATTTTTGTGTGCTCTTCGGTGTGTGAGGCAGCAGCTCTGAACTGCTGGTCAGCAGAGCTCACATCCAAAAATAAAGCCTATTGTTTCTTCACCCATGGCTCCAAGGACTTTTTCCTGTTACCTAGCTCATAGACCTGCGTGTGAAGGGGCTTGTGACCCAGTCTGTACAACAGGCTTGAGGGGTCTGTGAGCCCTAGCCCTAGCTCTACATCACTTGTGGTGGCTTTGCCTTTTGTCTATTTAGCACTCTTCCCCACATTCTTCTAGAAAAAGAACATGAGACCCCAGAGCTGGCACATTCTCTGGGGGACCAGTCGTCCCACCTGTCCTTTTGGCCCAGCTTGATCTTTCCAAGGAGGGACATTTGATCTAGGAGATGTCAAGGAGAGTTCTTGTTAGGATTTTGTAACGGGAGACAATTGTAGACCAGTTTTCTATTTGTTTTGACCCTGGAGTTGCCAGCAGCTTAGTTACTTTGGGTTTTCTCTTATTTGCAGTCTTAGTCTTGACTCATAGCTTGTAGGTCCTCCAGTGTTTATTTAGTTGCTCTTGCTACATAATGACTTTCCATATACTGACGAGTAAGTCCCTCTTTATTTTTCAAAACTTTCTGGGCTTTTCCTACATTAGTTCTTAGAGATGACTTTCTGAATGGATTTATCAGGCTCTCTTCTCCAAAGCCTTTTGGGATTGTGACTGAATTTGCATTTAAATCTAGTCTTAATGAACTGTCTACTGAGGAGGATGGCCCACTCTTAATCCAACTGGCTTGAACTGTTTCCTGGTGACCAATCAGAGACTGGGTACTCTGCAGCTAATCCCTCCACCCCCCAAAAACCCCTCACACTTATGTATACACTATATAACTACCTTTCCCCACCTTTATAGCTCACCCTTAATGATTAAGATTGTATCAAAAGCAGACAACCCGTCTTGCCTGATACATCTCTCAAAGCAGGAAGCAGCTGTCCATCACACTTGAAGACATCCTACATTCTGTCTCACCCAATATATCTCTTAAAGCGTCCTGTCTTGCCTGATACATCTGTATCTCTCAAAGCAGGAAGCAGCTGTCCATCACACTTGAAGACATCCTGTCTCCTTGATACATTTACCTATATAAACCCCAGCCCTCAGTTGACAGGGGAGGCAGTTGGGACTTTACCCTCTGTCTCCTGTTTATGACTTCCAAAATAAAAAGCCTTTCCTTTAAGTTCTGTCTGGCAAGTGTGACTGGTGATTTTTACAGCGGGGAGCACTTGGACCCACATGGGTCAGGGATTCCCCCCAGAAGGGGAATCCCACAGGACTTGTTCATTACCATGAGGACAGGCCCATCAGTCACCCTCAGCAGCACCACCATTACCCACTGATGGCCATTCCTAGGGCCCCATGCCTACCTCCTCCTTCCTCCAATTTTCTTTCCTTTTTAGCTTTCTTTTTTGTTTGGCCTCATCCAAATGCCCTGGATGAGGCTGATTTCCCATTCACTTGCTTAACCACAGGCTAACAGCTTCCAGGTGAAGTGGGAGGACTTTTTTGTAGAAGTTGGAGTCGTTTTCTGGATGTCTTCTCCATTGTGAAAATAAGAGTGATACTTCCTTTAACAAATGCAAACATAATAGCTCACCCATAAGAGAAGTTTAGTTTTCAATCACACAGTCCAAAATCGGCACTATTGCTCAGAGAGTGACTCCCAGGGACATCAGTTTTTGTACCTCTGGCCTCTCAGTTCTTCCTTGTGAGGCTTCCAAGGTCATTAATAGAAAAGGAGAGAGGATAGAGAGACACACCAGCTCTTCAGCCACCTCACCTGTGGCAAGTGATGCAAAAATTCCACCCACCTCACTGGTGAGAATGTGTATGAGGCCCCATCTGGTGAAAGGGGTGCAAGTCTTGTCTGCTGGGATGGCTGCCTCTGCCATCTTTCCCCTCTGCTCCAGTCCTGACAAGCATCTGGCCAACAAGTCTATGTGTGAGTATGTGCATGTTTCTGAGGAGAGGGCTCATCAACCCCCAAAAGTCAAGAACCACCACTCAGATGAGACCACTGGAATTCTTCAAGTCCTGGACCACCTCCCAACTCCAGGTCACTACTCTTGTACTGTCCTTGGACGCAAGTAGGGTTCTGGGATTGTAGGGAGAAAGGACAGCGGCTTTCAGTTGTCTTCAAAGCCCCTTTGGATCTAGAGTTTGAGCATGTAGACCCAGTGATCCTCACAATATCCTCAGTGGCCGTGAGCTTGGAGGGAGGTCCTGGAAGGCCCTGGTCTGTGTCTTTTGCCTGAAAACAGGTCAGCTGTTCTCGGCTGCAGGACAGGTGCTTCCCCTTGGACAGAGGTGAAGTTTCCTGCTGGCAGGAGTGTCTTTCAGGTGGGGCAGGGCAAGAACAGCACCTCTGTGTGCAGTGTTGGTTTACATGAGTGTGGATGACTGCACTTGTGTGTGTGAATGCTTGTCAGGGTCAGTGGGCACATCTCTGAACAAATACATTTGGACACACCCTGTGTGTAGTGTGAGCTCCTGTGTGCCTGGCATGGCATGTGGGGAATCTTTCTCAAGACCTTCTTTCGAGCAAGTTTTAAATAAGGATATTTTGAGGGAATCTTTGTGCAGATGTGCACGTGCCTGTCCCTCCAGTCAGAACCAAGTCACCCCGTCTTTCGCTCTCTTACCACCTCTGCCAAGCACCCTTGTATCACAGTGCCTTCCTAACTAACGCACTTGTTCCCTTGCCTTCTGACCATGGGTTCACTCTCCCCTGGGCTTTCTTGCTCAGCACCCTCATCCACCAAGGTTCTGTGCCCCTTCTTGAGCCCCTCTGCAGCAGTCATACTGGGTTTTTAAAATTTGAGTTTAACACTATGATGTTATGGGATACATATAGATAGTAAAATGATTACTATAGTGAAGCAGATTGACATATGTTTCATCTCACAGTGTCTTTTTTGTGACAAGAGCAGCGAAAATCTAATTTCACAAAAATCCTGAACACAGTGCAATTTTATTAACTACATTCCTCGTATTGTACAACAGATTTCTAGACTTGTTCATCCGACATATCCTCTGACCCACATCTCCCCATTTCCTCCCCACCCCCTGCACCTGGCAACCACTGTTTTATTCTCTATATCTATATATTTGAAAATATAAAAACTTGAAAATTTGAAAACTTAAAAAGTTTTTTAGATTTTACACATAAGTGAGATCATGCAATATTTTTTTGTGTGTGGTTTACTTTACTGAGCATAATGTCCTCCAGGTTCATCCATGTTGTGGCAACTGGCAGGTTCTTGTTTTTTAAGGCTGAAAAAAATTCCATTGTTCATTTGTTGTTTTCCATTGTATATTTATAAGCCACATTTTCTTTATCCATTTATCTGTTTACAGACACTTAGTTTGTTTCCATATCTTGGTTACTGTGAAGAATGCTTCAATTAACATGGGTGTGCAGGTATCTTTCTAAGGTAAGAGATTCCATCTCCTTTGGGTATATAACCAGAAGAGGATTGCTGGGTCATATGGTAGTTCTACTTTCAATTTCTTTACAAACCTCCATACTGTTTTCCATAATGGTTGTACCAATCTACATTCCCACCAACAATGTACTAGGGTTCGCTTTTCTCCACACCCTAATCAACATTTGTTATCTCCTCTCTTTTTGATAATAGCCATCCTAACAGGAATGAGGTAATATCGCATAATGGTTTTAATTTGCATTTCCCTCATGATTAGTGATGTTGAGCAACTTTTCATATATCTGTTGGCCATTTTTATGTCTTCTTTGGAGAAATGTCCATTCAGATCCTTTGTCCATTTTTAAATCAGATTATTTGTTTTTCTGCTATTGAGTTGTAAGATTTTTAAAACAAATTTTGGATATTAATGCCTTATAAGTTATGTGGTTTGCAAATATTTTTTCTCAGTCCATAGGTTGCCTTTTTATTTTGTTGTTTCCTTTTCTGTGCAGAAGGTTTTCAGTTTGATATAGTCCCATTTATTTATTTTTGCTTTTGTAAACTGAATTTTTAGTGTGATATCCAAAAAATCATTGCTTTTCTGATAATCAATAAAAAAAAAAAAGAAAGAAAAATCATTGCCCTGGCCAAGTCAAGGAGCTTTCCCCCTATGTTCTCTTCTAGTTTTATGGTCTCAGGTCTTACATGTAGGTCTTGTACTCATTTTGAGTTGATTTTCAGGTAGGGCATAAGGCAAGGGTCCAACTTCATTCTTTTGCAGGTGGAAATCATTTTCCCAGCACCATTTATTGAAGAGACTATCCTTTCCTCATTGTGTCCCCTTGGTGCTCCTGTCAAATATTAGTTGACTGTCTGAATTTATTTTGTCATCTCTATTCTGTTCCATTTGTCTGCATTTCTGTTTTTCTGCCAGTACCATACTGTTTTGATTATTATAGCTTTGTGATATAATTTTAAATCAGGAAGTATGATGCTTCCAACATTTTATTTTTCTCCCTCAGTATCACTTTGGCTATTCTGGGTTTTCTTCTGTCTCCATACAATTTTTAAGATTGTTTTTTCTATTTAGGATTGAAATATCACTGGAATTTTGATAGGGATTGCATTAAATCTGTATATTGCTTTGAGTATATGGACATTTTAACAATATCAATTATTCCCATCCATAAATACAAGATATCTTTCCATTTATTTGTATCTTCTTCAATTTTTTAATCAACGTTTTATAGTTTTCAGTGTACAAATCTTTCATCTCCTTGGTTAAATTTATTCGTAAGTATTTTATTTTATTTTTATTCTATGGTAATGGGATTTTTTCTTGATTTCTTTTGCAGCTAGGTTGTTATTTGTGTATGGGAATACTACCGATTTTTGTTGACTTTGTCTCCTGAAACCTCACTGAATTTATTAGTTCTAACAGTGTGTGTGTGGGTGTGTGTGTGTGTATGCACGCATGCATAATCTTTGCATTTTCTACATTTGGTAGCACTTCAAAAAGTTTGTTGAAAATTCGAATCAAAAGACAATACTAGAGGTTGGCCAGTTAGCTCAGTTGGTTAGAGCACAGTGCTGATAACATCAAAGTCCAGGGTTCAATCCCTGTACTGGCCAGCTGTCAAAAAAAAAAAAAAAGAAAGAAAGAAGAGAGAAATAATAATAATCCTTCCATGAATATTTGAAGACCCCTCACATAGCATCATGTCATCTGCAAAAAGAAATAATTTTACTTTTTTCTTTCTTATTTGGATGTCCTTTATCGCTTTCTCTTCTCTGATTGCTCTTGCTATTACTTCCAGTACTTTGTTGAATAGGAGTAGTGAAAATAGGCATCCCTGCCTTGTACTGGATCTTAGTAGAAAAGCTTAACAGTCATTCCGTTATGATGTTAGCTGTGGGTTTTTCATGAATGGCCTTTATTATGTTGAAGAACTTTCTATACCTAAACTGTTAAGGATTTTTTTTTTCCTTTTTTGTCTTTTTTCGTGACCAGTAAAGGGATCGCAACCCTCGGTGTCGTGCCCATACCGCGACTGGCAATGGGATCGCAACCCTCGGTGTTGCGCCCGCACCACGCTCAACCAGTGAGCAGACCGGTCTCTATATGGGATCCGAACCCTCGGCGGGAGCGCCGCTGCGCTCCCAAAGCGCTGCACTCTACCGAGTGCGCCACCGGGCCGGCCCAAGGATTTTTATCAAGAAAGGATGTTGAACTTTGTCAAATGTTTTTCTGTGTCAATTGAAATGATTATTTAATTATTTATTTTTATCCCATTAATGTAATGTATCACACTGATTGATTGGCATATGTTAAACCAGCCTTGCATGCCAGGGATAAATCTCTTTTAGTCACTATGTATCCATGTTGGTAATGATCTTTTTGATGTATTGTTGAATTCAGTTTGCTAATATTTTATTAAGGATTTCTGCATCAATGTTCATCAGAGATGTTGGCCTGTAGTTTTCTTTTCTTGTGATGTCTTTGTCTGGCTTAGGTATCAAAATGATGCTGGCCTCGTAAAATGTGTTTGGAAGTATGCCCTTTAGTTCTATTTTTGAAGAGTTTAAGAAGTATTGGTAATAATTCTTCTTTGAATGTTTGGTAGAATTCAGCTGTGAAGCCATCTGGTCCTGGGCTTTGTTGTTGTTGTTGCTGGAAAGTTTTAAATTACTTCTTCAATCTCTTTATTTGTTATTGTTCTGTTCAAGCTTTCTTTTTCTTCCTGACTTAATCTGGCAGGTTGTAGTTTAAAGAAATTTATCAATTTCTTCTAGGTTATCCAATTTGTTGGCATATAATTGTTCATAATAGTCCCTTATGATTCTTTTTATTTCTGAAGCATCTATTGTAATGTCTCCACTTTCACTCCTGACTATACTTACTTGAGTCTTCTCTTTTCTTAGGCTAGTTAGGGTTTGTCAATTTTACTTATTTTTTCAAAGAACAAACTCTTAGTTCTATTGATTTTTTTGTCATTGTCCTCTATTTGATTTACTCTTGTTCTGATCTTTATTATTTCCTTCCCTTTGCTGACTTTGGTTTAGTTTGTTCTTCTATTTCTAGCTCATTGAGGAATAACGTTAGGCTATTTATTGGGGATTTTTCTTCTTTTTTAATGTAGGCACTCATTGCTATAAAATTCCTTCTTAGAACTGCTTTTGCTGCATCCCATAGGTTTCCATTGTCATTTGTCTCAAGATATTTTTAAATTGCTCTTTCAATTTCTTCTTTGACCCATTGGCTGTTCAGGAGCATGTTAATTTTCACATATTAGTGAATTTTCCAAGATTTCTCCTGTTACTGAGTTCTAGTTTTATACTGTTGCAGCTGGAAACCATGTTAGATATAATTTCAACCTTCTTGAATTTGTTAAGACTTGTTTTGTGGCCTAACATATGGTATATCCTGGAGGATGTTCCATGTGTGCTAGAGAAGAATGTATATTTTGCTGCTCTTCTATATATATCTGTTAGGTCCATTGGATCTAAAGTGCAGTTCAAGTCTTGTATTTTCTTGTTAATTTCCTGTCTAGTTGATCTATTCATTGTTGAAAGTGGGGTTTTGAAGTCCCCTAATATTACTGTATTGTTATCTATTTCTTCCTTCGTGTCCATTAATATTTGCTTTATATATATAGGTATCCCAAT